TGCTGCTGCTGTGCTGCTGCTGTGCTGCTGCTGTGCTGCTGCTGTGCTGCTGCTGTGCTGCTGCTGTGCTGCTGCTTGACTGCTGCTTGCTGCTGTTGCTCTGCTTGCTGCTGCTTTCACGTCAAATGTATTTACCACTCCCGATGATGATCTCTACAGCGCCCTGCCCAGCCCAGCCCAGTGCGGAGCCCCAATAAGTGCCGCACCTGGTACACAACGCGGACGATCGCGCGAGCGGCAATTGCGCGGTGCGCACTTAGCCCTCATTTGGCTCACGCTTACGGGCAGCTGCCTTACGGGCCGTCCAATCTTGTAGCGCCCCTCTTGTCACACTCTATGATGATCCCCGGCATCGCCCCGCCTGGCCCCGCCCCGCCCCGCCCCGCACTAACTGTCCCACCTGCTGCAAGACAATCGAGTGCAAGAAGGTGCGGCGGCACTGGCGGCGCGCGGCGCTGGTCACATCCAGCCCAGTTTATAAAGCGCAGCTGCACCTGCGCACCCGCAGGCCGCAAGGAAAAGAAAAAAAAATATCACGGACTAGATGCATGTCGTGTGGGCGAGACGGTCGAGAAGCCGCGCAACCGGCAGTGAAAAAAAGACAAAGAGGGCGAAGTGTGTATAGTTCGGCAAGAAAAGCAAGTATTCGTGTTATGTTTTTGAATGGATCCATTCACTCGAGAGATGGAATAAGATCGAGAATAAAAGAGCGACAGAACAGGGAAAAGGGGTTGGGGTGGTGAAGGGGAGCCAGAAAGCTCACTAAGCTTCATTCGCGATTCCTTTCCGCTCGCATGTGCGTGGGCGTGTGTGTGGCTGCGTGTGTGTGTGTGAGTGTGTGTGTGTGTGTGAGCGTGCGAGCGCCGATGCACGTGCGAGCTCGCTGTACATTCCTCCGGGTTTGCCGATCATGACGTGTCAATGTGCCCGAGTCTAGTCCCTCCGAGCCTCGGACGAGCCTGGACGAGCAGATCGTCAGTCGTGGCAGTGGCTCCGCAGGTAGGCGATCGCCCCCTCGCCGGCAGGGCAGGTCCCCGACGAGGAAGTCGACATGTCGCTGCCCTCCGACCCTCCGCCGCCTGCGCCACCTCCACCGCCTCCGTCAGAGACCCGTCTACCATCGGCGCCACAACCAACACCATCGGAACCGTCACCACAGCCTCCACCCTCTGAACCGCCACCACCACCACCACCACCACCGCTGCCTCAGCCACTGTCGCTCGGGCTCGGAGCTGACTTACCACCGGCACCACAACCACCAGTCTCTGAACCATCACCACAGCCTCGCTCTGAACCACCACGTCCACCGCTGCCACAGCCACTGCCGCTCGG